CTACCCTAACCTCCCTTCTACTACTACTACTACTACTACTACTACTACTACTACTACTACTACTACTACTACTACTACTACTACTACTACTACTACTACTAGTACTATACTGCCATTACTACTACGGCTACTGGTGGTACTAATAATAATAGTAATTCGGTTCCTTTGTGAACATGGTAAACTTGGCCGCCGACATTTGTTTTCTTAACAATGATCTGGCTGCTTGCAATTAGTTGGTTATTTCGCCAAATATTTAATAGAACAAAAATATTTGAAGTAAAATTGGTGGACCCCAGTGAGATCCATATTTCATTTCATATGCCAGTATATTGTACATTGTATTCTTTTTAGATTCATAAAATATTATAATATGTTAGAATGATTGCCTTCCAATAACTTTAATATTATACCCTCCTCCGTATATCAACTGTCATCAGCATTTGTTGAATTGTGAGATTTGAGTGCCTCACAATGGTGAGAGTGAAGACCACTGCTCTATCCTAATGATGGAAGCAGCGTCTTCTCCGAAACTTTGGTAAACATCAACAAAACTACACGTTGTCACAACCCACAGAAGGCAATAGTCTTCATAATCACCGCCTTCAGAATTTGAAGTGCCACATGAATATTACTGTCGCCTGGGGTGACTCATCGTGTAGTCTGGTAAAAAGTTACCAATGTTTCAAAAGGAACCTGACTCCCCCCCCCCCTTGAGGACAGATAAACGTCACATACCAGAAAACATTAACCCTTTTTTGTGTGTTATTTAAAGGCGGTTTGCTAAGATGATTGATGAATTAGAAAGGATTTGGAAGGAAGCGGTAGTGGCCTATTCGAGGTACTATCCCTCTAATTGCCTGTAGGGACTGAGGAAAATCACGTAAAACAATAGGATATCCGGCGTCGTAGCCGAGTTTCTAACTGAACCGCCCGCATACAAGTATAAAACGTCGCCTAAGGGCCAAAATATTCTGTGCAACCGTCATTTTTCGAGCTCTTTGGAAGAATTTTATATTACGTTTATTTATAGTATAGGTCTATCCTAACCATTCTTTGCTTTTGCCTTTATTCCTCCCATTCTTCTCCCTTCTTTCTTTTTCTCTCCCTTTTTCGCGTCTACTTTTTCCATTAGTCCATTAAATATACTACAATTTTTCTTTGGGTAGTGGAGCGCAACCTTTCCCCTTTACGACAGGAACGTGCCCTCTCATTTACATTCCGGGAGCCTCAGTGCGGAAGAGAATTGTACAGACAAAAAAAATAAGAGATAGTCAAGCAAAGCTTTTTTTTTAAATTCTTGTTTTTTCTTTCAATTTGTTTCCGCGTTAAAAGTGTTTACATTTGTTTCCGGATTTGATATAACCTTCCCCTTATATATTTTGAGGTCTAGAAAATAATTTATGTTGGGTTTCTAGACAAGTTAACTCTTGATCCAGCTCCAGTGTAACCAAACTTATAGTCAATCCACTCTACGAACAAGGTTACGTCATACTTTGTGTAGGCAACCTTACGGAACAAAGTTCTGCCTATGAATATTTGAATTTCACATCGGCGTATGAATATCGGAAGTATGCTGAAAAGAGTATATAGTAACATTCTAATGATGACGTAACGCTCTACGTCACTAACTGACGATGACGCACCCTCGTTCCAACAGTGCACTGAGTATAGCATATTTGCTGTTACCTACGGCAAAAGCAAAAATGAGGATGTTATTTATACAGGATGGCCAACTATATTATCGTTCCTGCACGTAGCCCTCAAGTACTCTACTCAGTCTAATATAAAAGTAAGTTATTTTCATGTTACTTTGAGACTCTAGCAGCGCCCTGAATACATTAGAGCTGAAGGTTTGATTATTCATGAGTGATGAAGTTGGAAGGATTTGGAAGGAACTGTTGTGGCCTAGTCGGGGTACCATCAAGGAATCTACCTAGAAGGACTGAGGAAGACCTCGGAAAATCAGAATCAGTATGGACGGTGTACCTACTGAGATTTGAACCGTAACTCCCACGAATAAAAGTCTATAGCGCTAATACTAGACGACTATTTTCGATAACTATTTTGAGAAACTGACAGTAGGTCAGAATGTCACAAAATATACAGTTTTTTATGGAGTACAAACGCTCCGTTATTAAGGCCCTGTCATTGTACAGGGTCCGGCAGGGAGGTGTGATGGTTTTCAGAAAAGTAGTACACAGTTATTTTTTTTACGAATAGCAAATTTAATGTTTTTAAAGAGTATTTACGATGCTGTAACAAAAAATAAGAAAATTTAAATCCATTTTCGGAAAATCACATCATGCAAATGGCCGCCGTTATTGTCAAAGCATTTTTGCAGACGAGCGGAAAAGTTGTACATAGTTCTTCGAAGCATAGCAAGTGGAATCGCTCCAATTTCTGGGGTGCGGGCAACTGAAAGGGCCTCAAGAGGGCGTGGTTTGTCGATGTAAACCTTAGCTTACAGGTAGCCCCATAAAAAGTAATCGCACGCCAAAAGATCTGGGGATCGAGGGGGCCACTCCACATCCCCACACTTCGAAATGAGGTGCACAGGAAAATATTCTCTCAATAAGGCCATTGATTCTCTTGAGGTATGGCAAGTTGAAACCAAACTGTAGTGAGGTCGATGCGACGCCTTCGCAATTCAGGCAGTAAGAACTCGTGCAACATTGTCATGTAACTTTGTGAGTTTACTGTTACAGTGCATCGCCTTCCATGAAAAAGTAAGGCCCAATTACGCCAAAGCGGGCCATTCCGCACCACACAGTGACTCGTTCGCAATGCAGGTGTCTTTGGTGGAGTTCTTGGGGATTGTTTGCCGACCAGTACCGGAAATTTTGTTTATTGACGCTTCCTGTCAAGTGAAAATGCGCCTCATCACTCATGATGAGAACAGTGTCATCCCTCAGCACTTCCAGCGTGGTTTCAGCAAACGTAAACCTCCGTATGAAATCGTTCTACTGCAGTTCTTGAACCACCATGATTTTGTACGGGTGATAGTGAAGGTCAAAGTGTAAAATTCCGCGAACTGACCTCTCTGACATCCGCAGAGCGTGAGCGTGCCGTACCGCTGACCGACATGGGCTGGTCTCCACAGCTAGTCGAATTCTTTCGTTGTTTTCCGGAGTCCTGATAGTTCGATCGCCTCCACGAGCTGTACCCGGTCTCACAGATCCAGTTGTCCTGAAGTTCTTCACCCACTTCATTATTGTCTTTCGAGACGGAACGGCGCCATGTCGACCAACATTGAAATGACCACCACCGAACTACCCGTTTGAATAAACGTCTCAAAAACAAAGGCGCGATATTAAATGGTTCACGGTTCCATGGCCACTGAAATGGCGTCTAACAGTGAGTAACTGCCAACCATTGCGCATGCGCTAGTCCCCTTACCCCAACTTTTATACCCATCACAAATACGTCACACCTCCCTGCCGGACTCTGTACATACTTCTTTTAATATTATCCTCTGACATCCGACCTGGTCTCCAAAGAAATTCTCCCTCTTCAGAGTTTATGGTTAGAATTTAGGCATTTTCCTAATTCTGTAAATTTCAGAATAGGTGTAATTTCATAGGAGAGCGAAATTATTACGAAGAAAGTAATAGTGTTTGAAAGCGAATTTCAATTTTCTATTCACATGCACGTGACTTAGAGTAACAGTTGGTACAAAGTACAGTACTTTGTTCCATGACATAAGCCGCAACAAACTTTCAAAGTAAACGCAAAGTTGTTCCCGTGCTTAATTAATTTAGCAACGCGCCATGAATGGGTATTTGGGGGTTCACAGCATAGCTCCACGATTCTTGACCTCGGCACTAGATGGATGTGACTTGTCAGCTTCACACCCCGGCCGCTCTACCTCTGGTGATCCTCAATGTCTGTTGGATAGGAGATTGGGTGGGCTCCCAAGCAGGTTTCGAAGCGTTGGAATGGAGAAAATTCCCTTGGCCCTGCCTCTTGAAGCAGTGAAACACAATTTTGAGCTTTGTTGTTTGATAGACGTTAATATTACAGACCTATGTATTCTGGTATGTGACGCGGTGTAGTCTGGAAGTTTTGTACCAAGTTTATTACGAACCAGTTTCCTCCAGCTTGAGAGAAAAGGCAGAAGGTTCATCCGAAACGTCTGCATATACTACAATGCGACCATGCAAGTGGATGTTGTATTATCTTAAGAGACTATTTTTGTAGTATCCTATTATTTTCATTCCTGAAGATGGAGGCAACATGATATACCGAAACGATAGTATCTACCAGGTTACACGACATCACATTCCAGATACATATGATTTTATGAGTATATTTGTTTAGAGCTCTATTTCTTTTGAATGGAACTGTACAGTAACTGCATATCCCAGAGGAAAAGCAACAAAGATGGCGTGCTTTGATAATGTATTCAGTTGCAACCTAGCGAGAAAAATGTAAAGGGTTTGCTGACTTGCAGACTAGTGTATGTGGGCTGCTGGGAAAGTCTGTCTCTGAAACGAAATAATTCAATTGCTTAATGTCCCGAAGTTCAACTTTTACAGCTGTCTGTGTTAGTGCGCTCATTCATACACTTCAGTTAACCCACGATTAATAATCTCGCTCCTGAATCTCTTTTATCAGAACTTGGTGCAGCCTTCTTCACCGTCGCAGAGACGTTACAGTGTCTCAGGACACTACTTCGATTCCAGTTTGCAGGTCCCCCCTCCCCCCCAAAAAGTAATTGCTTCGTCCATTAGCGGATGAAGACAGTCAATATAAATCGACGCAAACAAGAGAGAGAGGGAAGGAAGGAAGAATAAACTAAAGAAAGAGATAAAAGCAAAGACGTAATTGTTCCTGTGTTTAATTAATTAAGTACCAAGCTATTAAGATGTATGGGAGAGTGGAGGTATAGCTCCACCGTTTATGACCTCTGCACTGGATGGAGGCGAGTTATCAGCTTCACGCCCTGACACTTTTACCCCGGGGAAAAGGGCCCCGCCATCGACTTAATTGTAGGCTGTGTAGGCCCCAGGCAGATCTGGTTGCTATGGGGACAAGAAAGTTCTCTTGGCCCAACTGGGAATCGAATTTTTCGATGTGGAAAGAAATTGAAATCGACTAGACAGTTCTCTGTGTAGTTGTACCAAATTTCGTATCTCTCAGATGATTTAGGAGATGAAGCATGCGGAAAGTTTAGCTGTCTTTTTGTTTATCTACGCGCTGAGAAGCTGGCGTCGAATTTCCTTCTGAATATATTTGATAAATATAGAGACAGGTCTTGTGCTACACCTACCGGCTTTCCATCACGGAAGCCTGGGCTCAATCCCGGGGTAGTCCATGTAGGTTGTGGCAATTGAGCAGTTTTTCTCTCCAAGCACTTCGGCTTTCCCCTTCCACTTTACCATCCCACCATCGCTACATACTCAACCATCAGGGGCTGGTATGATAGGCCCATTTAAGGCCGTAGTACTCCATATTACTCCACCCTTAAAACTTAAATAACTCCATGGAGCTTATTTCTTCTTGAGATGCCGCTAGTTCAAAACAAGACACGCAACATAACAGGAAGGAACACAGCCCACCACCTCGAACACGCATGCGCAATCGGGGGACTCTATGTAACAACCTAAGGAACAATACAAAAGACAGTAGTTCCGTCATCCATTAACCTTTAACACCTGATGATGACCACATTGGTCGAAACATGTAATGTAAAACTTCAAAGTTTTATAGAACACTAGTGCTGCATGTAAGACTGTGGCACTAACTGATACTGAAGAAGAAAGCAAGTAAACAACTGAAGAGATGCAAGTAAAAACACAAATATGAAAGGACTAAAGGCAGAAGAATGGAAGTAAGAAAGCAGAAAGAGAAGACATTAGCAACCAAACGAAAAGAGAAGGGAAAGGATAAAGACTAGAGACAGGGAGAGAAAGAGAGAGAGAATAAGAAAGAAAGGAAGACAGATAGAAAGCGACGTAATTGTTTTGAAGGGAAATATTTAACCTCGAATGTAACAAAATAGTTTCTAAACTTGAAGTAATTTGGCCGGTCATTACCGGCAACCAGGAATTTCATTTGTTGTACTGCTTGGGTGACGTAACGGCGCAAAACTAATGTATTTCACTGAAATGGCTAATGTTGCGCAGAGCTTCGGAGCATATTAAAATCCCTCATTTCGCCTAAGTGCACATTTTAATTTCAGTTCACAAATTACACGGTTCTTTTTCATTAACTTTTGTTAAGTAATTTCAATATAATTACATCTCTTTTGTTCTGGTATAAGACAACCAATATACTATAGAATTCAATTATGGCCCAAAATATTGGCACGTGTATTTGTGACTAGTAGACGGGGTTTGGATCAGTGAGTCTGTTTATTGGATATTCACTACTCACAACTGCAAATAATTATAAGACATTCAAGAATACCGTAATTATAACACACAAATAAAGTCTTCTGTAACTGTTTTCACTAGTCGTTGCTAGGTAACAGATCTAAAGAATGGCTATTCCTCTGCTAGCGTCCTGTCTCCGGACCCACACAGCTTTGTATCTACCGGGAGCACACTGCCTGAGGCGTGAAGCTGATCGCTCACCACCATCTAGTATCGAGTTAAAAGTAGTGGAGCTATACCTCTACTTCCCCATACATCTTCATGCCACAGTGCTTAATTAATAAAGCAAAGGTACAACATTACATTTTTATGCCTACTACGTCACTATCTGTCCGATCAAAGTGGCCGCGCGGTCTTAGGCATGAAGTATTTTCGCCTGCTCGAAAACTTGGGTCGTGTGATCGAATCCCAAAAGAGGCATGGATGTTTGTTTGTGTTTATTGTTTGTTTAAGTTGTTCTGTGTGTAGGTAGCGGCCTTGCGACGGGCTGATCCCCCATTCTAGAAGTCCTACTGGCTGTGTATAGATTAAAAACTGAAAAAGAAAACGGCCAAGATCCACAAAGACTGTAAAACCATTGACAGACAGACATGTGATCATCAGATGTCGAAGAACCCTGAAAGATATTTTAGGTATATCATATTTACTTCTAAGTCAATAATTATATTGAAGAATGCCGTCTTCTTTGATGTGGCGCCGAGTAGATTTTGTGTGAAACGACGTTTCGGAGGAAAGTATCGCCTCCATTTTCAGGATTAAAAAATTCAAGAGCAAGAAACCAGCTTGAACAGGCGGCTGGAGCCACATTCCAGAAGAAGGCGTTCTTCATAGTCACCGCCGTGAAAACCTCAAATCTTAAATAATTATATTGATTCATATCTTTCTAGAGAAACAGAAGCTGTTGATGGCCTTCTTTGCGTTAATGATGGTGATAAAGTTGATCAAGGTGAAATTGATGTTCGTGCTTCCTGTTCTCCTTGGTGTCGGGACGGCAAAGAAGCTATTTCTGAAGCTGCTTCTCTTCCTCTTCCCAGCCTTCGCACATATCTTCAAGTTCTGTGCGTTTTACCACGCGGCGCACACCAAGTTCCATCATCATCATCATCAGGTAAGCCGGGTCAGGCGTAATGACTGAAACTTTCAGAAGAAGGGCGGCAGTTCACAGGCCCTGTAAGCCTACTGAGCCAATTTACTCTCGCTCACACCCTCACAACCTTCTGAAGCATGAGGATAATAAAGATTTAGGAATTCAATTCCAATTTCACTTGAAACACTCAGAATTTTCATTACAACAAACAATTGACTAATGCACGTTAGTGAAATAATCTCTGCCTCTTTTCTAAGTAATATTTCCACGAGTATTCTGATAAGGCGACAATAAATAATGGATTCGGATTTTATAACTCGTTTTATTGGATATTTTCACACGTCATAACTACAATTCGTTAGTACACTTTCAAGATTACTGTATGTATGACACAAAACAATTATAACACTCTCAAGGTTAACACATCAACTGCTGAACTGCCTTCAACTTCGTCTTCGGGACCAATCCCCTCGAATAGACTTCACCGTTTCTTATATAGGCTCGGCACGGACCACGCACAGAAAACCCAGTTCTATTGTTGCATAAGAAAGAGCACACAGAAAAGAAGTGACGTGATTCCTAGTCAACGTTTTCATTGGTGCGCTGTTCCTAGCAACGCGCAATAACATTACTCCCTGGGACAACACTTCTATTGTTGTCTTGTGTGTATTCGGTCGCGGGGTGTTCACTGCTCTGGCCATCTATGTTACAGTACTAAAATCGTAAACAAACACGGTCGGTACAACACAGTGGTTTTAATTTATTTAAGTAAAGGTGAAAGGTAAAAATGTGAAGCTATCCCTGTAACAGGCTGTGAAGACCCATAGGGTTTAGAGACGTCGAGGCTCCCACATTTTCTAGAACATCGGCTCACAGATGGCGGTAAGGTTGTCAGCCTTACTCGTAGGCCGCCCTGTACCTCCCAGGAAGATTCCTGGTACTCATTTCTGTTAGAGGCTGAGTCGAACCCAGGGCCATAGTGCGGCTGGAAGGAATTGTAAATCTAAAAATCGAGAAAAATTTCGTACGGTTTATTTCATATTGTTTCTAGTTTAAATTAGTAGTAGAAAAAAAAACAATTATCAAATTGATGATAACCTTATTGCAAAATCTGGTATATATAATAAATCCTGTCTAATCCGGTTGTAGTTAATTCGGATGTCGGATCTCTCAGTTACTGAATGTACATAGGGTCAGTGATGTTAGGCAGACAGAAATCAATACAGCTGTGCCGTTAGTACCTGATCCTAGCCCTTTTGAGGTTGAAAGTGCTATTGCAAAATTGAAACGGTATAAATCGCCAGGTAGTGATCAAATTCCGGCAGAACTTATTCAAGCAGGAGGCGAAATATTACGTTCTAATATCCACAATCTAATTACTTCTATTTGGCATAAGAAAAAATTGCCTGATCAGTGGAAGGAGTCTATTATTGTACCGGTTCACAAGAAGGGTGATAAAACTGACTGTAGTAATTACTGGGGGATATCACTGTTATCAACTTCATACAAAATTTTAATCAATAACCTTCTTTCAAGGTTAAGTTCATATATAGATGAAATTATTGGGGAGCATCAGTGTCGGTTTCGACGTAACAGATCAACGACAGATCAGATCTTTTGCATTCGTCAAATATTGGAGAAAAAATGGGAGTACGATAAGACAGTACATCAGCTATTCATAGACTTCAAGAAAGCCTATGATTCAGTTAGGAGGGAAGTATTGTACAGTATTCTGAGAGAGTTTGGGATACCCATGAAACTACTTAGGTTGATTAAAATGTGTTTAAATGAAAAGTATAGTAAAGTCCGTGTAGTTAAACATTGGTCTGATAGATTTCCTATCCAGAATGGTCTGAAACAAGGAGATGCTTTATCGTCACCCCTTTTCGACTTTGCTTTAGAATATGCCATTAGGAAGGTCCAGGGAAACCAGGTGGGACTAAAATTAAAAGGGACACATCAGCTGTTGGTCTATGCCGATGATGTGAATCTACTGGGTGATAATGTAGATACCATAAAGAAAAACACACAAACTTTAATTGACGCAAGTAAAGAGGTTGGTCTAGAAGTAAACACAGAGAAAACTAAGTATATGTTACTGTCTCGTCACCAAAATGCAGGGCAAAATCATGACATAAAGATAGGAAACAGATGTTTTGAAAATGTGGCAGAGTTAAGATATTTGGGAACAACAAAAACAGATCGAACCCTGATTCAGGAGGAAATTAAGATGAGACTGAACTCGGGTAATGCTTGCTACGATTCAGTCCAGAACATTTTGTCTTCTCATCTGCTGTCCAAAAACATAAAAATTAGAGTATACAAAATTATAATTTTGCCTGTGGTTCTGTATGGGTGTGAAATTTGGTCTCTGACATTAAAGGAGGAACGTAGACTGAGGGTGTTTGAGAACAGGGTGTTGAGGAGAATATCAGGACCGAAGAGGAATGAAGTGACAGGAGGTTGGAGAAAACTACATAATGAGGAGCTTCATAACTTGTACTCTTCTTCAAGTTTAATAAGAATGATGAAGTGAAGGAGGATGAGGCGGGCAGGGCATGTAGCACGAATGGGGAAGACGATGAATGCGTATAGGATATTGGTGGGAAAGCCAGAAAGAAAGAGACCACTGGGAAGACCAAGGAGTCGGTGGGTGGACAATATTAGAATGGATCTTAGAGAGATAGGATGGGCTGGTATAGATTGGATAGATCTGGCTCAGGGTAGGGACCAGTGGAAGACTCTTGTGAACACGGTAATGAACATTCGGTTTCCATAAAATGCTGAGAAATTCTTGAGTAGCGCCAGAATTGGCGGCTCCTCCAGAAGGGCTCAGCTCCATGAGTAAGTAAGTAAGTAAGTCGGATAATCCGGGTCGAAATATGAAGACTGAGAAGTTCTGTTCACAGCTGAGGACGTTCTTTAAAACACATGTGGGGTTTAAGAGCGAGAGGGATTGTCATTATGTGTTGAGGGCAACTGGAGAGACCAAAACCACGCAAGACAATATCCAAGATTTGCTTCAGCTGGATGAAGCAGACTATGGAGTTCAGCTTCTAACAGAGAAATAAATTGCTGATATTTTTTTTATTTATTTTCATCGGCACTAACTATATTGTTAATTTTTTCAATTATTTGTTTTCCAAGATTATTTTGTCTTTTGGGGCTATCCTTGTTTCATTAATCCGGATTATCGCTTAAATCCAAATGAAGCCGGATTAGCGAGGGTTTGCTGTAATATAGTCGGTAGAGTTTCTAGAATGTAGGGTGGACAAAAGAAGAATCGGTGTTCGATTCACGACAAGAATAAAAGATTTTTCACTTCTCCGGAACAGCCATAGCGCCCACTGGAGGCCAGTGGGCCCCCTGACAAATGATTTTCGAGGACTATTTCCTCTGGTATTAAAGCATCGGGGTTGTGAAGTTGACCACTCACTTCCATTTAATGACGAGGTTAAAGTCTTGGAACTATAATTTCACTCCATTCCGAAGATACAGTATTAGGTGGAAGAATAATATTAAAATTGGTCTTAGATATATAGGATGAGATTTGATAAATCTGGTTTAGCATAAGGCACCAGTGAACACGGTAATGAACCTTTGGGTTCCATAAAACGTTCAGAAATTTTTTAGTAGCTTCACAATTGACGGTTTCTCAAGAAAGGCTCAGCTCCATGGAGTTACTTATTCCTACCTCCACTCTCTCATACATCTTTAAGGCATGGGGCTTATTTAAGGACATGGAAAACTGAAACTCTTACGTTACTTAATCCGGGTTAATGTTTTTGTCGTGTTAACGGATGTGTTTGTGTGTGTGTGAGACATATACTCACGTAACTGTTCCTCCTTGTTTTAAATCCTTGTAGACAAGGAACATGGAAACTTAACCAATGTGTACAAAGCACAAATACTCTAATACTGAAGCCAGTAGAGTCTATTGAGATGTTCATGTGTGCAATTGGATAACTTCGCACTTCCGAAAGGATGTCACAGAGAAACCTATAGTCCCACTTACTATAGGTCAGTGTGTCTAGCGCCTTCCGTCTATTGCATGTGTCGCAGCTCACGTCCGGGGAATGTAAACATGTTAGTGATGTAAACTAAGTTACGCTGTGTTCATTACAATCAAGCTAGACACCAATATAGTGGTCTTAACAAACATGATAATCAGGGACGGAAATACGGGGTAGACGCACACAGGGACGCCTACTAAACTCCATAGCGCTTCTTTAACGAAGCTATTTCCATTGCCTTAAGAGTTCATAACAGCGATGTAAGCAGGAAGGAATTCACTAACCTGCATTACAATAATTACGTCCATGGTTTATGCTAACCGTCTTAGAGTGTATACACTTTTTCACCTTATTCTTCACTTCCACACTACATGTTTCAGCACTAATGTGCCATCCTCAGGTGTCTTTATGCACGTTAAACTATTGTACTGCATGCCATGGTGTCTTCGTTCTAAAATGACGAATACAGATTTTAGTCATTTTAGAATGATGACATCATGGCATACAGTACAATAGTTTAACGTGCATAAAGACACCTGAGGATGGCACATTAGTGCTGAAACATGTAGTGTGGAAGTGAAGAATAAGGTGAAAAAGTGTATACACTCTAAGACGGTTAGCATAAACCATGGACGTAATTATTGTAATGCAGGTTAGTGAATTCCTTCCTGCTTACATCGCTGTTATGAACTCTTAAGGCAATGGAAATAGATTCGTTAAAGAAGCGCTATGGAGTTTAGTAGGCGTCCCTGTGTGCGTCTACCCCGTATTTCCGTCCCTGATTATCATGTTTGTTAAGACCACTATATTGGTGTCTAGCTTGATTGTAATGAACACAGCGTAACTTAGTTTACATCACTAACATGTTTACATTCCCCGGACGTGAGCTGCGACACATGCAATAGACGGAAGGCGCTAGACACACTGACCTATAGTAAGTGGGACTATAGGTTTCTCTGTGACATCCTTTCGGAAGTGCGAAGTTATCCAATTGCACACATGAACATCTCAATAGACTCTACTGGCTTCAGTATTAGAGTATTTGTGCTTTGTACACATTGGTTAAGTTTCCATGTTCCTTGTCTACAAGGATTTAAAACAAGGAGGAACACTAACAACGGTTATCTCGTCTGGTTCCATTATCCCGGGTTGTTAATGGGACAGACACGAGGACACAGTAATGTGACCTTGTGAGCCTACTTTAATTTCTTTCTTTAAACAAATGAAACAAAACACACACTCCGTGACTTGAGTCTGTAAGCCAACTATACCGACCCAGCGACCGCCGCTTGTTGGCGATGTTAGTGTCAACTTTTGTGATTAGAGGGTGTCACATGGTCAGCTCAATGGATCCCCACAGTCGTTAATTTCAGTTTTCTGGATTGGAGCCTCTATTTTCTTGAAATAGTTCCTTAATTATCCTCACGAGGCTGAGTGAACCCCGTTCTCAGAAAATTTGATAGCACCGGGAATCAAAACCAGGACCTCTAGATCTGTAGCCAGAAACGCTGACCACTAGACCACAGAGGTGATCTTAAAGAAAGGAAAATAGATAAAGATTTCCAGAAGTATTTCAGTTTTGACACTGGAGAGGAGTGGGCTGGGAGGCCTGGAGGAAGGGATGATATCAAGAAATATTGTGTAAGGATAGAGACCAGTGGAGGGATCTTGTGAACACGGTAATGAACCTTCAGATCCCATAAAGGTTGGAGCATTCCTTGAACAGTTGAGTGACGGCTGATTTCTATAGAAGGACAGAGTCTGCGTGTGTCTCTACTTTAGATAGGAGCATATTACTAAGACATAAGCATCCTTTGTACCCCGGTATGCACCGATTCACAAGCAGCAGCCGCTGATACCATGCTCCAATTTGGGGACGTCTGAAAGCGAAATAGATGCGCTGGTTTGACGTCACTGCTACCAGCGTGAACGTGTTAAGATTGGAGTGGTTGTCGCTAGTATGTGAGCTGGGTTTCCGCAGCACCCGGATGTTTGATCTTGCAACCTACTATTAGACGCCTCGACAGTGGCAATAAGGGACCCGAGTTTGATTTGCAAACAGGTCTTACAGCTTTGCGCTTCGGTTCAAGCGTTCTGTAACAAGGCGTGCATGCATTCAGGGGCGAACAAACTTCCCAATGAAATAAAGGCACTCCTGTGTTTAATTAATTAATTATGACGTCATGAAAACATGTGGGGGGCTATTCTTTATCTCGGTACTGGATGGAGGCGAGTGGTCAGTTTCACGCGCCCTGCCACTGTACTCCAGGGGAAAGACCCCCTGGTACCCACTGGACAAGTGGCTCGGTGGGCCCCAGAGCCGGTCTGGGCATTGTGGAGAAGGGAAAAATTTTCCCTTACCACGAATCGAACTCCTGCTCATAGCTTGTGCAACCCGTAGCCTAATCACTACACTGACTGAGCTGCACGTGCCAGTAAACGGAAAAAGAGCATGCGACAATCAAGATATTCATATTAATGCTCTTCTGTGTTGCTCATTTCACGACGCTATGAATAGCTTGACAATACAGTGTGAAAATATAGGATGAGTAACATGCGATAAATTGAGAAGGTTCTGGAAGAAAGCGGTGTTGGCCTAGTCGAGTAGTGTCTCTGCATTTGCCTAGAAGTACTGAGGAAAACTGTAAGAAAACTCAGTCAGAATGGCTGCTGTCCCAGCAGAACCAGAGCCTGCTTGGCTTATTCCTCGTTTCCGAAAATGGAAATAGCATATTCCTCCGAAACGTCGATCGAGTTTTAACAGATTATACGGCGTTATAGCCCAGAACATAGACTGTTCTAGACAGATTTTGACGAAATTTTGTATTGCGAATGCACTTTAAATGATATCAGGCAACAACATTCGTTCATATCCTTACGCCGAAATAAATACTGCTTTATAACCGTCACAATGTGCAAAGAAGAACGCGTGATATAGAACAGAACACAGAACAGATTAAGATTTCCAGACGTACTTTGTATCATGAAATGTAAATGAGATGTGTTTATGAATATTCAGTCTTATAATTTGTGATAAGCTTTGAATCAACGGCCTTTTGGTCTCGATTGTAACCGTTTTCAAGCATTAAACGAAAGAAATCAGTATTCATATTAACATAATCGCAATCAATATCTCAACTCATTAAATTTTATATATTTTCAATTTCTGTGAAAGAAAATTTATAAATCCCTCGTTTTGTAATTGTCTCCATATTAATTTTTACTTCTTCCTGAACGGTTGCGGTATCGTATTGCTTTAAAGTCAGGGATTTTCTAACCACCCTCACAACTCCCAACATGGAGAGACATTCATTTTTTATTATTTCCTGCTAGACTTTGAACATATTATTTCTCTCGCTCCCACTTTGGAGCACAGGGCTGATTTCTCAGCTTCACTGATCATTTTACAGATGGTAGGACTCCTTGGACGGGTGATCAGCTGGTCGCAATGCCGCTACCTAAACAAAGGACAACACAAACACACAATAAACGCATACATACACCAAACATTCATGCCTTGTGTGTGATCCGAACCCACGATCCCGGCTTCCGAGCGAGCGAAGGCAGTACATGCCTTAGACCGCTCGGCTACTGTGACCGGCAGAGTATAAGAATAATATATAAGAATTCAGTCCGTACCTCACAGGAAACAGATCCGAACCCACGATCCCGGCTTCAGGGCGAACGAAGACAGTACGTGCCTTAGACCGCTCGGCTACCGTGACCGGCAGTGTATAAGAATAATATATAAGAATTCAGTTCGTACCTCACAGGAAACAGATCCGAACCCACGATCCCGGCTTCAGGGCGAACGAAGACAGTACGTGCCTTAGACCGCTCGGCTACCGTGACCGGCAGTGTATAAGAATAATATATAAGAATTCAGTTCGTACCTCACAGGAAACAGATCCGAACCCACGATCCCGGCTTCAGGGCGAACGAAGACAGTACGTGCCTTAGACCGCTCGGCTACCGTGACCGGCAGTGTATAAGAATAATATATAAGAATTCAGTTCGTACCTCACAGGAAGCCGATCCGAACCCACGATCCCGACTCCAGAGCGAGCGAAGACAGTACATGCCTCAGACCGCTCGGCTACTGTGACCGGCAGTGTATAAGAATAATATATAAGAATTCAGTCCGTACCTCACAGGAAACAGATCCGAACCCACGATCCCGGCTTCAGGGCGAACGAAGACAGTACGTGCCTTAGACCGCTCGGATACCGTGACCGGCAGTGTATAAGAATAATATATAAGAATTCAGTTCGTACCTCACAGGAAACAGATCCGAACCCACGATCCCGGCTTCCGAGCGAGCGAAGACAGTGCATGCCTTAGACCGCTCGGCTACCGTGACCGGCAGTGTATAAGAATAATATATAAGAATTCAGTTCGTACCTCACAGGAAACAGATCCGAACCCACGATCACGACTTCCGAGCGAGTGAAGACAGTACATGCCTTAGACCGCTCGGGTACATTAAAATTGCGGTGTTACCAGAAAGTGAATCAGCTTATAAAATATCATAAAACAAAATAATGTTTTGTGTTTCAGATCGCACATCATCATCACCATGTTCCGGTTCCGGTTCCTGTCCACGTGGACCATAGTGTCCATTTGGACCACGGGCCACCACCATCTTCTCACTACGGTCCCAGCAGTTGGGACTCCACCGGCCCGGAATATATCTCCAACCGTAATGAGTATCTGACCCCCGCACAGGAAAACGAACTGGAAAGTTGGGGGCTCATGTCTAAGGGCTTATTTCATGTCCCTGCAGCAGCCCTTGGTTCTCATCCCCAATCTCTGGCATACAATGCGTACACTCAATATCTGGAGGACCAGAGGGTGTCGAGAAGTGCACTCCCTGTCACCGAACCTAGTATATTCCTTCCGCCAAAACAACAAACTCCTGCCAAGTTTGATCCAAATATCATCTCCCCACCACAACCACCTCCTTATCTCAACAACCAACAACAATTCGTGCAGAAACATCAACCGTTACAGCTGCTTCATCAACAAAGTCAGAAACAACAAAGCAACAACTTTGGAAATGGTAATTTAATACAACAACAAAGAGTAATTCAAGTCGTAGATCCAACAGCTGTAGCTGAGAATAAACAAACAAAATTACAACAACAGCAACAACAAAAATATCAGCAGTTACTTTTGGAACAACAAAAGTACCAACAGTTTTTGAGGGAACAAGAGCAGTCACTGAAGCTGAAAGCCTTGACTCCGAGGCCCGCTACTGAGGGCACTACTGTACAGGTGACGTATGATCCTTTCTACAGTCCAATGCTGCAGAAGATGGACAACGTGTTCGTGCAACTTGGGTTTAACGAAGAAGCTTGTCGAGAAAGATTGGTGTGCAGTATGTACAAGACTCCTTCCCGATTCAGTCCCCACAGCAACTTGATATCAGCTCAACTCAGCAGGTATTTATTCTGGCAATTCCTTCTTCTTCAGGTACATTGTATATCATATTTCCTGAGATTTAACGAATTGCATTGTTAGAAGAGGTTTCTGATGTTTTTGGAGGAAAATGTTGTTTCCATATTCAGAGAAAAAAGTATTCTTGAGGATCGAAGTAGTTATCATAAGTTTCCTTCAAGAAGGATTTGAAAGTGGAACGAAATATTTACTCAAAACTCGAAATTATATTGTAAACATTTCCAAAATCTTTATTTGATGTAAGAACGTATAGATTTTGGCATCTATAGGTTAACCAATAGGTTAAGCTAGATCATTTCCAAAGTTTCACAATTGCGATTGTAGCAAAAGTCACCGTCATCATAACTCATTAAGCCAATGTATGGCCTCTCCCTTCCACTCGAAATGTGTATAGATCTTCCTACATCAACATTTGGCGATTTGCAATTATTCTCCTTCGCTGTTTGTATACTAAGATTTGTTTAGGAATACATCCCGTTTACATCCCTAAATCATGATAATTCCAGTCATATATATTGTCATGCTTTATGTGTGTGACTGTAGACAGAGTATGTATTGTATCTTGGTTTTACTGACCACTTGCACACTCTGAGCTACAAGTAATTGCAATAAATCGCTAATCCCCACAATTCACAAAGCACACAGCACCAGCTAAGCCTATTTACCAGCCTACTATGTCTTCAACAGCCGTTCCCTGGCAACGGCTCTTAACAGTGGAGATTCTTCAGCTTCACGTGGTCAGTTCCATCTCCATAGTCTCCCGTTCAGAACCAAACTGTCAAGTGAACTAACCCCCAGATTGGCAGCCATTTCACACTAACCTCCTAATCTTCTCTTCACAGGCTGACTTTCAACTGACAACTGACTTGATCGCCCCAATTATCTTCCTTATAACCACTTTGAACGGACCGAGTAGGAAACACCTCTTCGAACAGTAACTCTATTGCTGTGCTCGTATTTATTGTCTCGGGAACCTATTTACTGATCGGTTGCCTAAAAACGGACTGCATAACACCGTTGTTTATTCGTCTATTGTATGGCAACGGCTGTACACGTTACAATATGTATTGTCGTGTGTATTAGTGACTAAAGACGGGGTTCGGATTTGTAATTGGATTTATTAAACATCTACAGGTTCCAACTACAAATAATTGTTACACTACTGCTGATTTACACAATTTACAATCACTCCAAATTAACATTGTCAGACTGTTTCCACTAGTCTTCACTAGCCGCCTCCTGGCAACGGATTCATAAAATAGGAACTGTAAAAGTCTCACTGAACTACACAGTCCCAATATCGATGTACTACAGCATATGTGACGTCACACACTGTCTTCTAATTCTTCTTCTGGCCACACTGCTGTTCCCTTGGAACTTCGGAACTCAAGTGAGGTCAATTCCCATTCCCGTATTCTCTCATATCCTCTCGGCACGGACCACGTACAGAAAACACAGTTGTATTGTTGCTTAAGGCAGACCACGTAGGTCACGGTTTAGTTTCCCATTGAGGTTATTGAATTTTTTAAGTTACCTAATCCTTCCAGCTACATTATGGCCCTGAGGTCGAATCAACCTCTAACAGAAATGATACCAGGAATATCCCTGGGGTAAAAGGCGGCCGGCTCTTAAGGCTAACAACCTTACTCCCATCTGTGAGCTGATTGTCTAGAAAATATGGGAGCCTCAACGTCTCACAACCCTATGGTCCTTCATAGCCTGTAACAAGGATAGCTTTACCTTTCTTTTCACTTACTCATGCATTTATAACATTCATTTAAATATACCACAAATATTTCTTCCTGCATACTGTACAATTGATACCTAATGATCCTCATTCTGTGATGTGTAACGCATGCATGACATTCTCCTTAAATCAATGATTATATCAGGAATTGTAATGTGCCTAATTACGAGGAAGTCAATATTTCGTAGAACTCGCAACAATAGAGTTGGAAACATGCCACGAGGACTCTGTAAATGGGAGTCTACAGCACAGAAATAGTTCTGTCGGACACTAAGTCAAGTTCAGACGCCATATGCAGCAAACAGCAACCACGTCCTTATTGACAATGCAATAAAAGAACCGTGAAAGTCGCTGGTTAGTGCATAATCAATGAACATCCGTGTATTTGCCTTGTTGACCAGTTTCTTCATGTTTGGCTTCAATACCGGACAGCCTACGCAAAAATTTAACTAACATCTTTCGCCACCAGAGAACTGTGCTCAATTATCACTCCATAAAGACGCATGTGGAAGCGAAGGTATAGCTCCACCATTTTTTATTCTTTTTTATTGCTAGTGGGGTGGGACTAAGTCCCTTGTACTGCGGCCACTTCTGGCCTATTGTACCAGCCCCAGATGATAGGTGAGGGTGATTGTGAAGCAGTTGGTGGAATGAAGATTGGCAGGGGAAACCGAAGTACTCGGAGAAAACCTGCCCCAGCGCCACTTTGTCCACCACAAATCCAACTTGACCAGACCCGGGATCGAACCCGGGCAGCCCCGGTGGGAAGCCAGCGACTAACCGCTTGAGCTATGGCGCGGCCCTAGCTCCACCATTTATAACGTCTGAATTAGACGGAAATGGGTAGCCGGCTTCTACGAGGGAAAATCAGTAAATACGTCACAAATGGATATAAAACGTAAAAAAATTTGATATTCGAACCTGGCGGAAAAAAAAACTTTATTTCTCGACATATCCTCCACCAACATTGATACATTTGTGCAGTCGCTTTACCAGTGCGTCGAAACCCGGATAATAGTGTGAATTATTTGCATTATATTCTTTCTTTGTCTGACTCTTGTCTATTATTGGAGACAAACATTATTAAAAGGTAAAGCTATCCTTGTAACAGGCTGTGAAAGCCCATGGAGTTGTGAGATGTCGAGGCGCTCACATTTTCTAGAAAATCGGCTCACAGACGGCGGTGAGTTGTCAGCCTTACGAGCCGGCCGCCCTTTACCCCCGAAAAATATTCCTGTTACTCATTTCTGCTAGAGGCTGAGACGACCCCAGGGTCACAGTGCGGCTGGGAGGATTAAGTAAATTGAAAAAATCCACCTCATCGGGATTCGATCCCGCGACCTTCCGGCTTGTAGCATAGTGCCTCAACCAAGTACACTAACGCGTGTCCCTATTCCTGGGGATAAAAAGTGTACCTATAATTCCGCAGCCGATGACCCTGGAAAACCAGAAAATATTCTACTTTCTCTTTTCATTAAGTATTTATGGAAAATGTTAATGAAAACCCTGCTTGATACAATAGGCAACGTAAAGGCAAAGCTGTCGCTCACTTCAATTAATGACTATGACATGAAGATGTAGGGAGGAATGGGTGTATATCTCCACCATTTGCAGCCTCATTATTAGATAGAGGTGAGAGGTCAGCTTCATGTTCCATCCGCTTTATCACCGGAGAAAGATCCTCCAGATACCCTTTTAAGTGGGTCTCAGAATCAGTCTGGACGCTTTGGAGAAGAGAAAACTATATTTGTTTTCCTGAAAACTTGTATAACATTCTATTTTCTTGTAGTGAAATTTGTAATGTTTTGTGAGATCATGTGAAGCATGGTTTATATTAGACATTCGTGTGACAATATTAAATTAATTACATAAATTTAGTTCAGACCGCTAATGCCAAATTTCAGCAAAATCTATTATTCAGAGATGAAGCATATTGGGAGGGGCATCGTTGTAGCCCCTAAAAATAACGTGTTTGCTTTGCGTTTCTTGTGGAAGTACTGCATCATATATTAAACTACGCTAGAAACATCAGTCAGAACAATTAATTCCACCGGGTACATAGGCTAATTGCACTGTCTTCGCTCGCTCGGAAGCCGGGATCGTGGGTTCGAATCCCACTCAGGGCATGGATGATGTTTAGTTTGTGTGTGTGCGTTTTTCTATGTTTGTGTACAGGTAGAGGCCCTGCGACGAGCTGATCACCCGCCCAAGGAGTCCTACCGAATGTCTAGAATCTAGAAAACCCAAAGTGAACGGAGAAGTTCATGGAGGTAGGCCTAGGCCCACTGGGGCTGTAGTGCCAAGGAAAAAAAACATAGGCTAATAATACCGGACATTAGATCGTGGTTTGCGGGCGACGGCTGGAGCTCGCTCTCCGATACAAAATGTCCGCTAAATGTCCTGTGGACATGAGAAGGGGGTGTGGGAATTAGGTGCCGTACTTGTTCACTCTCCTTTTCACCCCACCCACTTGACGACCTCTACCCTCATGAACCTCAACCTATAAGCCATATTTAACAAAAGAGTTCCCTTTTGAAAACAAATGAACTATAGTACATTCACCATTTAGAATACACCTATGAGTAAAGATATCCAGTGCTAGTGAACCAAGCGGCCGCGTGGGGCGACACTCTCGTCTGTAGCGCTCTGGACTGACCACGTGTGTTTTGGACCTTCATGTTATTATTATGTGGATCCTGTTAAGTTTCTTTATTGAAATATAAATCTTCTTAAACCTTGTGCTTTAAACTGTACATTTCATAATTAAAGGCAATTAAATTAATTATTAAAATTATAACAATTACTATAAAAAAGGCAAGAAAGATCACAGTCATCTTTCTACTTAATGAAACACCACGTCATAAAGACGTATGAGGGAGTAGAGGTGTAGCTCCACGCATTGTTAACCTCGGCACTAGATGGAGGTGAGTGATCAGCTTCACTCCCCGGACGCTTTTTCCCTGGGAAAGAACTGCCGGTGCCCTGAATGCTGTGTGGGCTCTAGAGCCTATGTGGAAGTATCTTTTGCCACAGCCGGGAATAAAACCAAAATAATTCAGCCATCCATCCAGTAGCTTAGCCACAACGGCGACGTTAGTAAACCGGTTCTTAATGATCAATACATTAATAATTATTAAACAGAATCATCGTTGTTTGAGAAAATTTGTAAACTTCGTACCAAGGTCCTGATTGAGAGACAGGATAATGATCGTGGACTATTTGAAAGTAACTTCATAA